GGGGTCAAGACAGCGTTACCGATTGATGACTTCCCATTCATTTAATACAGAGGAAAACATTCGGGCGTCTTCGAGTCGGATGGATCATCTGAATTGTCCTTGTGTATCATAATTACTCCTAGTCCATCGTCATACATGGCAAGTTGTCAGATACAACTGAAATATGTATTCCTGCAAGATAGTGATTGCTCGAAGCTGACTATGGTTAGCAAATATGTTGCTTAAGCATAATGATCGCCTTCACGTAACTGTTTAGACTCGCGGTTAGTGGATGCGCATCGCATGGGCAAATCATTGGCCATGCGATTAATTTGGGATGAATAGTTCATTCCATCGAGCGCTATCCTAAATCAAATGCTCAAACGGGTCCTTTTTTGTATACTAGTTCGTCAAAGTGTGCCAATGTATTTGGAAGCACCATCTCACATCAATATTAGCTGAGTTTAGCCGGTATGTTTGACAGTTACGTCGGATATGAAATTTTATCTCTTTGCGTTTCGCCCCATTGAGTTCATTTGTGGCTCTCGCTTAACTCATTTCTTGCAGCCAATTTTATATTAAAGACTTGATCAGCTCAACAGATCTTAGCCTTGGATTACTGTATTTTCATCCAAAGTATATGAACGCCGACGCTTCCACGCATTAAAAAGGACACAGGGGCAATATATGCCCGACTGGATTAGCCACGATGCCCTTGGCTGAGATCAGCCAGTCTGTCACACTACCAATCTAAAACGGTCCTTTCTACTTGCTTATCGGATTGTCGCTCCACAAATCCAAACGATGCCTTCTATTAGGTCACTGACTTGTCACCTGACAAAAATCGAATGGTATCGTCTCCTCTAACGCCGGCTTGATGAATGACAAGACTCTACGTTCGCTGGTAGCGGGACCCCACCCAAATCCGACCTTATCGCTTGGCGCTACCAGTCGAATCTCCACAATATTTGCCTCTCTAAATTTGACGGTAGACACACCCCAGCCCACTCTGGAACTCACCGTTTAAGCGTTCGCATGTCTTGAGACTTACAAAACTTCGCGTTGTACTCATATGTCTCACATTGTAAATCTCGGAGCCACGTGGGTACCTCCTTTTTGTCCTTCTTATATATTTAGTGAATGAAAAGGATAAGCTGACTTCTACATTCTCATCGACGTTGTATGGGCTTTTCGGCCAATAGTCATTTAGATTCAGAGAGCTAAGTATTCAGCGAGCTATGGGCTTAAGCCAGCTCGGCTTCAGACGACTGAGCACTTCAAGTGATATTCGCCCCTCTCAGCCGTCCTTTTGAACTGCACTGACATCCGATTGCCACCTCGTGAAATTTCCTAAACTACATTGTTGAACGTAGTTAGTTACCTGACTTTTGCTTCAAGGGGGTGATGTTTAGGGTCGGTTCTATCACATGATATCTATATCGATTGCGTTGATACGAATTGTAAAATAGCGGATATCACTTGCGATTAATGCGCTTTTCGCGATAATTCGTTGTGGTTGGTGACATGATACTTATCGATTGATATAGTCCATGACATCAGCTGACGGGCCCTCTTTTCAATGCTAGACGCGCGCAATGAGTGATGAGCTAGGTTTTGATGTACATGCTTGTGGTAGAATAGTTCCAGTAAGGTTTTAAGGATTATACACACATTATGCTATAATCCATTTCTCTTGTACCAAACAATCGATCGTTATCGTCTAGCTGATTGCGCTTCTTTTACACTATATACTGTCCGGAAGTCGCAATGAGACGGTCTACACTGTCATCAGTATAGATGACATGAACATTTTATTAGAAGCACAGGGTGCCCCGTTACACTGTGCTGCTGTTCGAAGATGCGTTCACTTTGACTTGGCAATTGGATATTACGGGTGCAACTGACGTCTCGTATGATTTCGTGGATGACATTTCGCCTTCGAAAAATGAATCTAGGACATACGAAAAATGCCATTGATCGAGTGGTCAGTATTTATTGTCTTAAGGACGTATGACATTTATTGAAGCAGTACCGTACGTCGCACATATATAATCGAGATGTAGATTAAATGCGCCGTCAAACAAAATTTGATCGAAGATAGGGGATATGTAAACGGGTCTGACCTTACTACATGTGGAACAGGTACTTTTCTCACATCATTACTTCGACTGAGCTTACAGGACCGAGCAACGATAGAAAAGCGACAGCATATATAGAAAGATTAGCAAGATACCGATAGTTCTCGCACGTAAACTATCACTATTAAGGAAATAGACATGAGACAGATCTGGCCATCTAGCTGATAGAATGGGTTAGGCTCCGGCCATTTCGCACAGTGTTGCAATCATGAACGCCATGTAGTTCCATCACCAATGCGCTAGCTACTTAAGCAACCGTTCTGATGACACCATTCTTACATCGTGGTAGAAAAAAGCATTGGTGATCCAGATGTGAGTCGAAGGAGGCTGCTCATCGCACAACTCCCATGGTAGACAACTTGCTTCCCGTGCCGCTGAATTACACCGCCATCGAGCTATCCACTGGCACCGTAGAGTCTTTTCTGCTACGCCGTCCATTCTGTCACCAGCATTGTCCACTTCTTACAGTGTGCTTTTGCCACGCAGCAATACACGGATAGAGACTACCAGCAAATAGAGGGCACAGTCCTGGAGCTACTTCGGGTACTCAAGATGCTTTGCGCATAGGAATGCTGCTAACTCTCACAGCGACGACAAGCCCATGCATCTCACGCCGATCGGTGCACCTGATAGCGGCAGGAGCTCAGCCACTTCGACCTTATCACGAACAAAGATTGCGAGTGGCCTGTATTATGCAGCAGATGGAGTGAGGAGATGACGAGGTTCAGTCGGCGTAGCTCTTTCAGTATTAGCAAGAGAAAACGATCCGCAAGGCTCGTGAATTCGGCAGACGAATGGGATGCAGAGTTTTCACAGCACGTTCCGCTGTGCCAAAAGAGACTCTTGTCGGACATTCGGTGTCACAAGCGCAACTGTTCTGGATCGATTCGAGCCTCGTAAAGAGACTCAACTCGTTATCACGGACACTATACCGTTGGTCATGGCTGCAGACAGGTCATGTTGGTGATCAACTGTACCGAACGATCTTCGACGATGGCAAAAGGTGGCGCGCAAATCTTGGCTGAATGCCGCTGCGGAGTATCCTTGTACGTCGATTAGACCTCTGACCCGGAACAGAGCCGAGAACCCGGTTAGCATGCATCTATTGTTGTTGTCGTGTTCTATGCTGACAAGGTCCCGATCGGTTCGACAAGACCGACAGTGACTGGATACCCGACAGAGCCGATACAATCACCCCTCTGCTCACGAGCTGCTGCCTATGCCATGACTGCCTCACTCCTTGTGAGTCTATCCCTGAGATAAAGCGGTACGTCGATATGCTGCCCTTGTCACGACTGAGGGATGTGTCACCTTCAGAATCGCCAACAGCGCGGCCATAGACAGTGACTTGCTTCTATCAACGAGACGTCTTGCACACGCACTTCCATAATTCATGATAGGCGTTACTATCGGGGTATGTAACAACCGGGCCATCCCCAACGCATCCTCCAGCCTTACCGATTGAACTTACACATGCTTGACGCTGTCGAGACCTTGGCCCACAATGCCACATGTGATAGGTATGATCTACGGTCCACTGTTGAGTTTAGCAACACAAACCTTCTGTGTTCCCAGATTTCGAAAGCTCGAGAGTGTGGCTACAAGAGTATCTCGCTCGTGCAAGCAAAGAGACGTGTATGTGGAACACACATTGTTGCATCACGTTGCTCTCCTCTCATGAAGACACGAGCATGCGGTCTTCATGACGTGAGACGTGATCGTGCACATTGTTCAGTAGACAACCGAAAGAGAGAGAGAGTTTTAACAGATGTGATGCATGCGAACATTTGCAGAATGTCTGGAACGTCTGCGCTAGGCGATGGGCGTCGAGTATCCAGTAGATAGTTATGTTGAACATCGGTAGGAGCCCAGGCTCCTCTGACATTGAGACCCATAGGACGCATCGTATACTCAATGTGCGCAGTCGCCTTTCGTGTCAACGCCAGTAAAGGTAAAGGCTTACCCAAGTAAACAGGTCCGACGTGGTACGAGACGTCAACAGGTCCAACGTGGTACGAAGACGTCAACAGGTCCTACGTGGTACTAAGACATCACTCGATGTCGCTACGCGAGCTCCATTCGTATGCGGCTTCTCCGACATTGTTCCTGCCCGCCGCTTTTCCGAGTCGTTATCCATTACCTCTCGCGGGGAAAGCAGCGTCAACGCGTTTCCACCTGTCTCGACGACGCGACAAGATGATCGAGATCCAGTGACGCTGTTGCATCTTTACTCGCTTACATACCGACAGAGAGCAAAGGTGTCCATGTCATTTGTTGTCGCAATGGCCAACGAGCGTACAGGTGATCTCGTTGTCTAAACGAGAGGGACTGTCCATCCCATGCATCGTCATCAGCCAGTCCATGGGGATCCAGCAGGGTCCACTCTTGTTCGTGGATCTTCATCCGTTGCCCGTATCAGGCGTAAAGTAGCATGGCGAATGGACCTGCAGCTGTCTCTGTAGAAGCCCCTGTCGGTTCGTCGATTGGCTTTGGCTAGTGGCTCTGACTGTGTTACCGGACGAAAGGCCATCGCCAGTGCGTGTTGTTCCAGCACCGAAATCTCGCGGCGAGTGTGTGTTGCCACCCACCGAAGCTGTGTGAGTTACAGTTGCACAAGCTCCAGTGTCTACCAGTCGGTCATCCCCTCGCACATGAACTCGCCGCGCCTGCTGGCCGCAGGTTGTCGAAGCGTCGTTAGCAGGGACTTGCCATGGTCCTTCCTCCCGGGGAGGACCTGCCCTTTTTGTACGGTCCGACGTGTCCAGAGGCCCACGCTTTCTTCATCTGCGGACCGAGTTCCACCACGTCCTCCAACTTCTTCACTTCTCAACTCGCGCACTTTGTCGTAGCGGTCATCACGCGGCTGCTCCCCATTGCATCCAAATGCCTTCGCCTCCAGTGCCCGTCCAGCCCTTGATGACGTCAAAAGATGCGACAGCCGAGTCATCTTCGCGCAAGAGCCGACTCAAGTACGACTTTCCCCTCGCAACGCTCGTAGCTCTCTCGCACTTTCGCCAGGACGAAGCGGCCAAGATCCTCGGCGTCGCGTCGATCACGCTCAAGCGCAACTGCCAGCGACGCAACTACCGCTGGCCGTACCGCACCATTAAGGCCAAGCGCCGCCGAGAAGCTCATCTCGCGGCGAAACCCCTTTCCGACGACCCGCTCCTCCGTCACCAGTCGTTGCCCGCGCCCGAGATTCTGCTCTCGCTACGGCACGTGGCGACCAATTGCAGTCGCCTACCGACGTCTGCTCAGAGCTTTGCAGCTGTACCTCCCAATCGGGTCATCTCGGCACCGATAGCGGTCCCTCGTTCGACCGCTCACGTGTCGCGTACCTACACATCGACGACGTTGAAGCTGCCACCGGCGCCGCCGCAACTTCCCCCGTTGAAGGTGCTCTTGCAGAACCTCAAGCAGCAGTCACTGCCGGCGACACCGCCCCGTCTTCAGGCGGTACCATTCGTGCAGTACCATCACCCGGTCGAGCACAAGAGCTCTACTTACAGCGCGTCGTTCCACTCGGACGCGCCAAAGTTTCCCCTACGGAACCTGTCCGCTCTAGCGGACCGCTGCTGAAGTGGCAGCGACCAACTGACTTGGCGCAGCCACATTCTTTACCGCTAAGACGGTCCCTCTCTCACCCCCTCGAACGCCGACCAACTTGAGCTGCTGTGGCCGATTTCGGCTGTTTCGACTGCAACGAGTTGCAACGCTGTGCCTTTTTGTAGACAATTTTGAATACAAGTGCGTTCCCACGACTACCTGTTGGCACCGCTGTCGTCACTTTCTTTGGCTTTGCAAGTCCTTTGAACCCCTTTGTATTGGGCTTTACAAGAGTCAGCACCCTCGACGTCTCTACACAGTACGCTTCCGGCTCGCCCTCGTGCGTACCCATAGCCGATACGCCCCACGACTTCTCGATTTTCACTGCGTCGCTCCGATTCTCACCGAAAAACCAGTCGCACGACCTGCGACGGCGGCGGTGCACCGCTCGTTCATGTCGCAGTAAGTCGCCGGTCGTCTTATCCCGTCCAGTTGCAAACGTCCACACATGCAGTGGCCAGCGGCGACCTGATCGGCTTCTCCTCGTGAGTCGTCGACGCCCGTACCGCCAAATTGACTCTCTTTGATCTTTTTGCAATCCGTGAGAGTCAGTAGCAACGACGCAGTTGATGCACGAAAGGAGACAACAGCACCAAAGGACACACCGAATACATAGAGGAGATAGATCGCGTGCAGTTTCACAGGGACGACCCAGCGACGTACCCGCAGGTTAGTGACGCTGCAGGCGTTTTGACCTCTGCTACTCAAGTGGCTCAACTTCGGTCGCATCTGATTCGGCCACACCTGTGCGTCAGTACTTTGTCGTTCCATCGCGGGCAGAAGTAATGCGTCGAGGACGTAGTCCGTCGACGACGCGGGGCATAGATCGAACGGCGGCGGCGGCGACGACGACGAACAAGTGGTCGACAGTGAACGTTCGTGGCCGCGCATCGGTTATGATCTGACAAACAGGTGACGACGACGCAGGAGCGCGTGGGGATGAGCAGTTCAGCAGTTGACTGCGTGGACCGTACGGCCAAAGCATCAGATCAGTTTGTGGCGCGGGCTCACTCGTGTCTGACCGTTTGCCGTCAACGAAAGTGCCATCCGATGGGTCGGCCGCTTTGTTGGCTCGAAATGCCGCCGTCGGATCGTAGAGGGGTAGGGACGCCTCGACTCAGTTGACCGACAAAAGCAGGACGCAAAGGCCGAGAGGGGCAGAGAGAAGCGGTGGGAGTGCTGTCCTGCCGCCGTCGGACAAGTGCTGTGTGCTGCGGGCACGACCGGTTCAGGAGGTTCCAGTCGCTCGGGTCAAGTGGAACCGAATGACTGACTGAGTGGAAGCGACTGGTGCGGTAGAGGATCGCAAAGTCTCTCGGTCGATCCGAAAGTAGGCCGTCTGCGTAGGATATGTCGCCCACGCAGTGCACTTGAGACCGTTCGCGACGGACGGCACATGTCAATTTGTTTGTGTGTTTGTTTGTGGGTTTGATGTTTCCGGTCGATCGTGCGACTTTCCATGAGGATGCAGTCGAGCGGGCGCGCCCTTCCTCTGCGAACGTCTGCATCGGCATCTGGTCGTGGATCATGAGATGTACGTGGCGTGAGCAGACACTGAGTCGCAGGTGTTGGCAACTTCCACTCCAAAGCGATCGAGTGGACTGGGGCAATCAATTAGGACCCGTGCGATGGCGCTGACCCGAGTGCGAACGTTTCGCTTTTGACCGATAAGGACACGAAATCGACTCCGGCGCTCTTGGCCAGAGGCACACGGACTCGAGAGACGCGGTCGGGACCATATGGGTGTTGTCATGCGCCCCTTCTTTCTGACCGGCTGTACGAAGCGTCAATCGGTCGGTCGGTCGGTCGGTCGGTCGGTTGGCTGGACAATAAACGGTCTCACCATCGAGTGCGGGAGAATATCACTTCCTAGAGACATACGTTTCAGTACACTGTGAAGTACCACTTACTCGAGCGAACTGGAGCTCTGCAGCGTCGACACAGCTGTCAGATTGGCAAACAAGAGCTCGTGAAACGATGTGACCCGCTCGGCCAGTCGAACAGCCGCTGCATTCTCTTTTCTGCGCCGTGCTCAGCACTTGCCACTGCGATGCCAACGTGGACCCAAGTGCTGACACTGGTGGCAGCAGTGGGCACTGCGGTGCGCTCGAGCGCGGATACGACCGACGCGACGTCGATTTTCGGCCTCCAGCGAGTGCGAACGCTACAGACTCCGTCCGTCGCGACGAGACACCTCTTGTCGCTGTCGTCCGACAAGACGGACGAGCACGAGGGCAACGACTCTTCCGACTCGGACGATGACGAGAGTGACTCGGCCGACGCGAATTCCTGCGGCGTTGCCGAGCGTCGAGTTTCCAGCCAACATCACACTGGGCTCGACCGTCAATACCGTGGACCGCGTTGCAAAGACGTACCCCAATTGGGTCGGCCCGACCATTGGCAAACCATCGGACCCCGCGTTCGACAAGGCGTGTTGGCGCAGGACCCACATCATGAAAGTCTGTCCCTTTGGGTTCGACCGCCACTTGAAGATCTGCTGGGCGCAGTGTCCGCTGGCGTACCCCGTGCGATGCGGCTTCGAGTGCATCCGGCAGAGCGACGACTGCGGCGCAGAGATGTACGCCAAGTTCGTTAGTGCCGCCAACGCCTTCTTCTCGGTCCAGATCATGGGCGTCTTTGGCGAGTTCAAGAAACTGGCACAGCCCGTGCGCGTCGGGATCAAGTGCGCCCGCGCCATGTTCGGCACAATGCGTGCGATCGTCAACTACATCCGCGCGATCAAAGTGTCAAACCCAAAGATGCCGCGGGAACACCTTGTGCTGGCGCTGTACCAGACGAGCTACATCACCATTGACCTCCCCGTGAGTACCGTCATGTGCATGGGCCGGAGCTACAACTGGCAAGTGCTCGATCCGCTCAGTGTCGCCATGGGGTCCGTCCAAGTGCTGGTCGGCGAAGCCATTGCCCGTCAAGACAGCATCCTGCGCACGTGGGGCAAGTTCAAGGCGTTTCTCCTGCGGTCCAACTTCACGTACGCCGTGAACGACTTGAACGAGACTGAGATCTCGTCGCTCAAGACGGGTATGCAGTCCCAGTCCATGTGCGGCTACGAGCTGCAGCGCCTCACGGACCGCACGTGGCGCACGATTGCCGAGATGAAGCACGCGGCGCCCAACCTGTCGGAAGACGAGCTGCGCGTGGCCGTGTACCAGTCCGAGCTGATGCTGCACGACATCCCGACCGTGACGAACAACTGCATGGCGCAGCTGGTGGCCGAGTCGGACGAGCCAACGGCCTACAAGACGCGCGACACGCTGCGCAAGACCTACAGCGTCATCGTCGACGAGTTGATCGACAAGGGCCACAGCGACAATGGCACGTCGCTGGCCGCAACGCAGTACACGCGCGTGCTGGCCGACAAGATGTTTATGGCCGTTGCGACGGTCTTTTACATTGACTTGACGCGCGTGTCGGGTCTCTTGTCCGAGTACATTGAGACGCTCTGCGGGCCGACGCAAGTGATTGGCGAGATCGACGACGGGAGCGACTTCAAGACCGTTGGGCTGCGCCTCGTGGGCGACGTGTTCGGCCAGACGTCCGTCGCGTGGCGGCGGCGGGGCGACGGCGTGGTCCACATTTCCCTGTGCAACACCGACGCCAAAGACGTGACGGTGAACATGATCTCGGCCGGCGAAAAGGTCGGCGAGCAGCTCGTGGCGGCCAACGCGACGGCCGTGTGGAACGCGACGGTCGAGCAGCTGGGCGGCAAGACGCTGTACTTGGACCGGTGGCGCCCGGGCTTCCTGGGGCTGCCGGGGACGGGCGGCGGGTCGCTGAAGCTGTGGGTGCCGCGCGCGCGGGACGGCGGCCACTTGGACCTCTTCGTGCGGGTGAATGGCCCGCGTTAGAGAGGGAGTGGCGGTGGCGTATACAGGGGGGGGGTGGGTGGGTGGGTGTATACAAGGCGAGGGGAGGAGAAGAGCGGGACGACAGGGGATGTGAGGCGACGGGCGGATAGGGGGGGGGGGGGAGAGAGAGAGACGGGGATAGGGACGAGATAGAGAGAGAGACGGGGATAGGGACGAGATAGAGAGAGAGACGGGGATAGGGACGAGATAGACTAATATTTAAACGAGAAGGGCAAGTGAATGACATCGAGCGAGCGAGGAGGTATGCGAGGGGGACGAGTTGCGAAGAGCGGGAGGTTGTGACAGGTTGGAGCGATTGCTTGACCACGGAGGTGAAGGACCTCAGTTTCGCAGTCGAAAGCGTGGACGGGCCCCAGCAAACTAGCAGCATTGTCGAGGGCCGGTGTTGCGCAATCAAAAGCAATGCACTCAAGTCTTCATTTAGATCAGCCGAACATGCAGCCGTTCGTGTCGGGTGTGGTCAAACCGTGAACGGTGTTGCTTTGTATCACGCACACCCCGTGGCTGAGTCTTCTTTGCGTAGTCTGCCTTTTCACAAGCATTCAGCCCTCCGGCAAGTGTCCTGGCACTCCTGTTAAGGATATATGGTGGTGTACAAGACGTCTTGCTAATATGCCAGTGCGAGCCATACTGCTGCAAAACTCTGCGCGTACTTGGCAGCCATGACGTTCGGTCGGAAAGTAAAGAAGAAGCATTTACCAGCTGCAGCTACGTCGTGCAACTATAACGATATCAAGATTAGCCGCGCCTAGTTACGACGTTCATGCGACTACTTGGGATCTATCCATTGTCAATGATAGCACATCGTTCCTTCTTCTTACGTATAGGCGCTAATTGACATTTGCGGTCTCCCGCCTGTGTTCGCAGGCTACCGCCAGAACTCACCATGAGTAGAATCAATGGCGGTCGTAGATCTGACGAGTGTATTTTTGAGCGTATAGTATACGCCATGGTTTCATTTCTAAATCATGCAAATACATTCCTCATGTATGTATGATATCTTCCGTCTAATTGATTTTATCAAACGGTTTGAGAAGAATCTAATATCCCTTATCTATTCTGTGCGCATAAAATCTACTGTCTTCGATACTTGTGCTCATACAATGCACACGTCGTCTGCTCTCTGCCATGCACAAAAAGCGTGTGGCTTTGGCCAATGAACGAACTCCCTGATGCGTCCATACCGCACCGCTCGCCCGATGCTGCGGCTGCATAAACCACACACGTACCAGTTTCAGTGGCTTTCTATCGATGCACATCCCTCACAATGAATGACCAGAGCCTGAACGATGACGTAACGACGAAAGTGTCAGAGTTTCTCAGATGGCTGTGAAAGGCGATAGATAGACTGCCACAGTCGATCGGTGTAAAATCTAAATGCCACGACCGCATCTTTGTGCGACGTCGCAGATAGAAAAGACCTCAGCACGACGACCTTCTTCTCCAGTTGGTCGGTATCAGGTGTTTGGCTACCTGCGAAATGGCTCAGCAACGTCTGTGCATCCGACGCAGTAGAGCCCGCGTGTTGCTTACGACCTGAACAAAGGTATCAGCTTCTACTGGCTACGATTGAGACGAGGCGACAGGAATTAATTTGTGTGAGGTTACGATCAGAACGAGGCAGCCATTCGGGAGGGCATCGGCTGAAGCAGTACCTTTCTGGCAGGTTCTACTTGCAGTGCAAGTGTTCACAACACACGCGATGGCCAACATCTAGTGCGCTATGCATTGGGTGCAGCCAATCGTACAAGAGTCGGCACCAGCAGCTCATTGTGCAAAGCAGTCGAGAACGAGTGTCAAGGACTGCAACTGCGCAGCATCAGCAAACGCTTTGGCGGCATAGCCACGTGCTACTTACTTCTTGCAACGTCCTGCGCAGATTGTCTCTCCGATGAAAGCAAGTCACTGTCTCCTGATAATCGATCGCCGCGCTGCTGACGGTACCGAAGGTGGCAGAAGCCTCAGTCGTGACGAAAGCAGTACATTGACCTACCACTCTATCTCCTGACTGCAAGGACACGGAATGGGGCAGATATGGCACAGGCAGCACCTTGTGAATCGAGCAGTGCTTGCCGACACTGTGTCCGATATCCAGTCATCGTCGGTCTGGTCGGACCGACCGTGTCAACATCGTGGTGACAACAACTGATGCACGCCAGACTGGGGCTTTGTTCGCCTCTGGTCAAAGTTCTGATCGCCATCCGAATACTCTGCGAAGGCAATTTGTACGGCGTCCAACATTTTTGGATGGGTGTCACCATTTCGGTGTTACGCAAGGCTTGACGCCTCTCTTTCGCGTTACTTCAGTCTCAACCGCGAACCCGGAGATGTAGACGTGTTTGCGGCTGCGAGAACCGGTTTGGTGGGCAATTGACGGGGTAGAACCGAGTTGCGCAACATTGTAAAACGGTAGAACCGCTTTTACTACCGATAGAGTCGACTTTGAGACCGGCTCCCGCAGTAGTCGAAATAAGACAATAGGAATCTTACCGAACTGTTGCCACCAAACACATGATTGTGTAGCAGACGGAAGAAGTAGACAGCAATTACCTGCAAACCTCTCCATGAGCGACTGCGTTGCTGATTGCGCTGCTGTACTAACACAATATGCATCGCGTGTCTAGCAATAACAAAAGTGCCTGTGTTAAGCGCAAAGTTAGTTTCGACGTCAAAAATGATATTGGAATGGATGTACCCGATTAGGGAGACAAATGACTTTGTATCCCGTGGAAGATAGCAACAAGAAGCAGAAGTACAGACAATGAGCACATCTAGAATTCGGAATGTGCCTTACATCTTGCAGCTAGAGCTTTGTTAGTCGGACACTATCTCAACTCAGTTAACAGTCACTCACATACTTGTTGAGATCCGAGAACATTGCTAGCAATTGAGTATGCCTCCAGTGCCTGGTGTTCGCACAAACACCGTGAGTCCAGCGACTGCCAGTTTTGATACCCCGTGAGGAGCATGTATGTGTACAACTAGGTCTGTGTTGCATACAGAAATCGAGTATCTCATCGCGTGGTGCGAGGGGCCATGCACCCGCATGGCGCATACATAGTAGCATACCGGCAAAGGATGCGTAGGCCTGTGCTGAAGAGGATGGTCGTGGCGTCGCGATGCAAGCTGAATAACTGCACCGAACCTGTCAAGACACACATCGCTAGCGGCAACAGATCATCACAGAGCATTTCAAGAAAATTACTTCTCGTTGATTTCTGACATGCTGATCTAGCTGAAAGCTGCGCTCGTTTCTCACGTTTGCAAGCGCTAGACCCTGAGCATACTGCCACCGCTGTTCCTGACCCGTGTGCACTGCGCTGCAATGTCATACGCTGTCTCATCTATACGGTACGGTGAGGTTCACGTCAAATGATAGAGAATCAATTACAGGTGCGAGCTACTCAGGAACCTGTTCGCACCGATATCGGGTACCCAGCAGATCTCATTACATCCGGCTCCACGAACATGGCAAGTCGCGAGCCGATTGAACGGCTTTGACCTGGCCTCACTCGGGGTAAGTCGTTACCCCACCATCTCGAAAAAGCTTTTGTTATTAAATAACGTTAACGGCTATCGCTGCGGATACATCCAGTGCCCTTGCGGCTGCTGTCAGTTATTGTAAGTGTCCGTGACCTGTTGCCAAGTTTCTACAAGACACGTCAACGGACCCACAACATCTTCGCCACCAACTTCAAACAAAGCTTAAACATTATTTGTCGCACGACATAGCGTGCTAGGAAGAACTTGCATCCGCATCTGTGCCAGATGTACGAGCTTTGCGTGTGTCCGCCGTCGCTGACGATTGCATCGCTGTATGAACTCTACATTGCAACATGATATGGACACTGCTTTTGTAGGTTTTGTTCATTGCGTGACAAATTCGATCGTGATTAAGTCGAGATGGCTGAGGTTTTGCCAGCGCTATGGTCGTATGGCGGTGTAGTTGCACGAGAGCGCGTCGTCGTCATGATGACGGGATAGAATCGTTCCGCACATTTGCAACTGGAATTTCACTCACTACTATACGCATCTCGGCCTGCAGAATCGCTACAGATGGGTTGCTACACGGCTTGAAACAAGCTGCAGATGGCAGGAATGCTTGTGGCGGCACAATCAATTTATGCACAATCGATGCAGGACATCTATTTCCTACAACAAAGTTTGATCGGGAATGAAGCAGGTCGACCGGCGCTACCAACGGCAGTCTCCGTCGCAGTTGTCGCGCAGTAAGTATAGCGCTGTACTGCACATACTACACAGACTCATGAATTGCGCTTGACCAAGACCCAGTGCTACGTCTTCGTTATCAGCGATCGCGCCAGCGCAGAAAGTCAATCAGGCAGTGTCATGTGCATAGATTGCATTTCACGTATCACGTGTCAGCAGTTTCGTAAGCCCTCAATGATAGGACGGAAGCTGCCCGTGGAATCTGGTGGAAAGTTGTAATACTGCCTAATGGGCCTTTGTGGTGCAAGAGTTGCTTCGAATATACTCAGGTGCATCGTCATTAGACGACTGCAATCGGATCGGACGAAGTCGTCCATGTCGTCAAAACACGCAGCAGCAACAACCCGTTGTTGTCGGTGAGCAGGATCTACCGCGTTTGGTAAGTGACGCCTAGAGCACTTCTCCATATCTTTGCATCGAGCGTACTTTTAAAGGCTGTGCTTCTGCAGCCCTTCTCCTCACTCAATGGGCTCTCTTTCAATAAGCTCGTCGCCAGACCGATATGCGTGTGACTCGAGTGCTCCACTTGCAAAACGTAAAAGCACGACATGCACAGCATCTATACATCGGAACGTGCACACGTCACGTTGAAGCTAAGACGGTTATATTCTATTGCTGGCAACACGAGTTGGTCAGAGGCCCCACGAGGCTAAACGATGACGGCTTCGACTCGGTGAACAATCCAACGCAAACTGCCTCAACCGTTTCCATGACGACAACAACTTTGTTCAACTTGGACCGCCCGATCGTCAGCCTACTTTATTGACTTGACGCGGGCGTGGCAACGACAGCCACGAAAGCACAACTGACGCGCGACATCGCGATGCTGCATCATTTGTAAAATTTGCTGACGACTCGAAGGAGACACTTGTCGACGTTTGCTGTAAGTCGACGCCACACGCTCTTTCGGTTCGATACCGCCGCGCGCCTCAATTCCCACGGGTCGCCTAAGGAGAAATCGGTTGCCATGGCTGGAGTCGTGCCACGACGCCCCGAAGTGTCCGTTGTCGGTGGGCTTCGCTCTGGGCCCATCGTCTGAGCAAACTGATTCACAGGTGACTCAGGAGTGGCCGCCTGAAGGGATGCAATGGCGAAAGAATTGCTGCGTGCTCGCAGTGGCTTTTTTCCCCGATACGGCTGCGGGATGAGGTGCTGTGCTCCACTCGAGTGGATGGGAGGACTGCTCCAGACCGAGAGGCGTTGGTCCCTACTCAGGCTGACTCGTGCATCAATCGCAACGTAATGGGGCATCGGTGAGGTAGTCGCGACAGCGTATGGGTGTCGCTCGAGCCGGTGGATTCGAATGTGAAGTAGTGGCACAGTAAGTATTGATGAGCGTACACGCCGTCGTCGTCGTGTCAGACTTGGCCAACTGTTAGCGGTCTTCGTATTGTGGACGGGCAATCAGTGACCGATGCACTGGGAATGACTTTTGTTTCACGTTGACACGCATCGAAGCGAAGGAATCGCTGAGCTCACTGTCTTTCTCGGGACATTGTAGGACGATTGACGTACTCGTGCGTTCGACATTCATTCGAAGCACTGACTCTTGTGGACGAACACGTTCCAACTGCTCATATCCAGCAATGCAATCAATCGATACATCAATCAAACACAACAACATCAACGAGTAGCTATACCACTACTGCCGATATCCACTACCCCTCTTGCCTTAGGCGGGAACGCCACATGGGCAACGCATAACATGTCCTCACGACCAACGAAACTTGCTCGAATCCACCTGTCGTTCTTCCTGTCTGTTGTACAAGACCATCAGTACAAAGCACGACACGTTTGTTCCTATGGCTCTCATCCGCCTCTGCTTCCAAGCAAAGTGCCAACAAAACAAGCGGACGGAGGACACAATTGACCTCCTGGACCTCCGTCTTTTGCAAGATGCTACTTGTAGCTCTCGTACGTTGTCTGTGTGAAAGGGGACCGCGTTGGGTACCGTCCCCTGACAAGTCACAAGATGGAAAAGTTCACGCGTCGAGCTCATTGTTTGTATTTGTCGTAGCACTAGTGACTCCACTTCCTCTACCCACTCGTCCAAAAAAGATGACATTACCTCACATCAGCGTGTACAGCACCACATAAAACGTCGCCGATATGAACCTCCGCACGAAGCAACGACTGACTATCTGTCTGTCGTATTCTCTATCTGCACAAAACACAATCGAACGCCTCTACTTCGCGTCGACGTCGCTCGACAGCTTGTGCAATGACGCGAGGATCTCGCCGCAGTCGTTCTTGGCCTGTTCGTCCTCGTGAAGGCTCTCCGTGTCCGTGTCGCACTCGCTACTACTGAGGTCTTCGTGGGCTGACGCCGTCCATGTCGGCTGGTCGAGCGGCAGGTCGTCCCGAAGACAGTCGAGCGGCAGGTCGTGGAACGCCCGCCCCTTCTCTGATAGCACAAACGAGTGGCCCGACCTGTACTTGTTGGCGCGATAGGGCCACCGAAAGCCGTGGCGCTTGCAGTTGCGCTTGATCGTAATGACGGACACGTGCAGGGCGTCTGCCGCTTGTCGCTGTGGCATGTGGAAGAACTGCGCGAGAAAGTCGAACGTGAAGTCGTAAATGCGTCGACTTTTGCGACACTTTGTTGGCTTTTCACGCGAGGAGAGGGAAGCGATGGAGCGTTTCCGACACGTTACGACGGGCGTCGTCGACACAGGAAGCGGCAGCGCAGTGCACATGACGGGGGAGAGAACGACGTTGTAGTTGGTGGGGGTAGTGGTAATGGTAGTGGTAGCAACGGGAGTAGTGCGGTTCATGTCGGGTATTGATGGCCGGTCGAGGGTTACGTCCAAGTACGGAAAAGAGGGAATGAGAGCTGAGCTGAGCTGAGCTGGCAAAGCAGAAGCGAGACTTTGCATGGACGCTCCACATGGTCGTCCTCCCCCCCCCCCCAACCTCCGCATAGTGGCATCGTCGCAGCGTCTCTTATGTACACACACATATATACATATACCGACTTGACACAGGGAGCGACACGGCGAAGGGAGGAGGTCTCACTACTACTTTCGTGGTTGTCATCTGGTCGTTGACACGTTGCGACTACGACGTTGAAGGACATTGATGACACCAGATTTGAGCCTTATCCCGAGTCCATCCCATCAGTCAGTCACGCGGAGATGACAAGCGCTACTGTGGAGCGCACAGAGTCGGACTCGCCGTAATCGGTCACTGCCTGAGTTCATAGACGATACGAGTCGGAATGACCACTGCACGCGCCAGAGGAGACCGCGAAGCTGCTCCCCCAGACTTACGAGTGATCGCCACGGCAGCGCTTTGTCTCTGTCGCCAGTGCAGCGTTCGAGGCCATCCAAGCGAAGTGGCTGACCACTTGTCGGGGATACCGCCTGCTACGACGCGACTGCCGAATTCGCGAGTACCAGTGTGGACCGTCCGAGTGTCGTCAAAGACACGGAACGATCTTGGCGCGTTCTTCGTGTATTCGGTAACCTGTGACCCGTCAGCCAACATGGGGGTAGGAAGCGGCAGGAAGCGATACCCGCGATCAAACGTATGCTTGAACGACGTGTTTGTTGAGGCCACTTCCCGACAATATCAAGGGGCAGAGGACTCAGAAGAATGGATGAGAAGACGTGTAGAGCCCATCATCACTTGTGACCATAGATGCAGATACACCACAGCTTCAATTCGTGGCTGCAACAGTCTCAGGTCCTGCTGCACAGAACAACGGTGGACGGTTTCTTCATGGGTGATGCGCTCTTTTTCGTGCATGCCCACGCACAAATGCCTTCTTCCTACGGTTTGTGGCCATAGCTGTTGCCAATATGGACGTCGCGGTCGGTCTGCAAGTGAGTCCTCGTCGTCTACAGGCAAGTTGCCAGCGCTAGTCACGGACTCTTGAGGTGCACAAGCTCGAAACGAGCTTCTAGTCCATACAATGGTATGGCCAACACGGCTCCATGCAGCCCCAGCCGTCGAGGGACCGCAAGACCAAAGAGGCTATCTCGTCGCTGCTGTCGTATCTCAGATGTAGTCGTCGCCTCGTAAGACGCGTACAGGCAGCGTATTATACACGTTGCATCGTGTTTGCCATATCGCAGTCAAAGAAGCGTACGATTGTTAGCGACGATCGGAATGCGCCCGGTTTCCACTCCGATACACGCATCGGACGTGGATCTTTCCTTGCACGTTCGCCCGTGCTGACGAGACCGTTGCCGAGCAGTTCTGGCACCGTTCGCATCGATCTTTTGAATCAGGTGATGCCGTTTGACGGAACCCGTGCGGTGTCACTGACGTTTCAAAGGTACACCAGCCTGGAGCACTGCAACCAGAAGCGCCAGTCGACGTGATGGTAAGACGTGATTGCGTGTGCTGGAGCGAGTGCTAAGACGCGGGAAGAAGACGCGCGATCGAAAAGTGCCTTAGCCATACCGCTCTCCAGCGCCGCTTATCCGCTGACGAGTCTCACTACATCGCAGCAGTCCGACGACACCTTCTCGAGCATGGGTCAGGTGCGTCAAGCTCGGCTCGTCTTCTGCCAGCTCGTATCCGTTTCTCTTCGTGTGGGGTCCGTCGGCCAGCTGCAATACAGCTCCTTTGCACTTCCGACTTGCGTCGCGTGAGGGACAGCGTCGACGTTTTCCGATCCATGAGGTATCTCCAGAAGAGACCCTTTTGCGTGCAGAGTCTTGATGGCCCAGACACGGACTTTTCCAGTCGCCTCGTTTTCGTGCACGCGGACGATTGCTACGTCAACTATTTTGCTCACATGTTTCGGAGCGAACTGTTCCTTGAGCCCACCTGCACGTGGAGACGGACGCTAGCGTTCTATGGATAGAGCAGCAAAACACCTTTTCATCCCACTACTCTACTGCACGGATAAACAACACGGCGCGGTCACGATGCTTCCTACCCATCATTCGTTGCCTGGCCTGGAGGCGACAGGTCGCTCGTCGGCTCGGACAAAATCTAAAAGCCGGCCCGACTGCTGCACGTCCTACGTGGTACTAAGGCATCGCTCGATCACAGTGTATCCTTCCTGTGGATTCATCGTGGAACGATGTGACAACCGCTCAGCCTCAAGTCTCCACAAATGCAGCAGGTCCACCCATTCGCGTTGGCCTGACACCCGCCCGCGTGAATACCTGTCCCACTCTGGACGACGCTGACCAGGCCTCAATGTGGTAGAGAAGCAGCATGCCGCTCATGGAGAAGTGTGCACGGGTTCGGCTCCTCCCAGTTGTGGTTGCAGCATGCCTTGTCAAACACTGTAATTGGCGTCGTGCCTTTGCTTGCGTCACCTGTCGAGGAATGTATCATCTACATGTGCGTCCACTGCGCTGCTACGAGCGACAGGTGTATCGGTTGCGCTGCAACTGTTGCCAGCTCGCGGCGATCGTCCAAATGCTTTACAAATAGTGGTTATGCCTCTGTTGATACAAAAGTCTTGTCAGTGCCCCAGCACTCTGCTCTTTCACATGTCCCAATCGGTGTAGGAAGTTTGATCTGCCGCGCAGTCACCATGCGACTGAGCGACCTCCACCTTCTCTTCAATGTCCATCCTGCTTTTCTCGTATCAGGCTTAGCACGCAGCTTCAGATCATTTAGTCCCATCCATGCACTGCGGCTCGACATCTCGTACATACGACACGATGACAAAGAACGCGGAGCCGTATCACCTTATGCGATCAACGCTGCTTCGATTGCTACGGCTCGTGTCTATCGAGACAACAAGAACAAACGTCTCCCATCAGCCTCAAGGAGGGATCCGACAGCTCGGTTGGCACACCGATCGTCGACAGTCTTCATCCAAAGCTCATCCTTCGCTTCCGTCTCGCTCGTCCATAGATGTATGTACTCTTCTCTCACACGTCTGCCTCTTTCGAGTTGCATTCAGTGCACTGTCACATCTACGATCAATGCAGAGCTCCTCCTTCCGACACAAAGGCAACGCTCTATCGAACCGTGCCGCGACATAGCTTCCCACTTTTCCAGAGCCTGTGTACTTTGATAAACGAGCGAGCGAACGCCGTCGTCCAAGTTATGCAGTGACAGCAGGAGAACATCAGTCGACGACGAAGCAACAAATTGCACAGAACGCGATCTCACACTTCGAGAATATAGATCGATTCTGGATCAAAGTAGCTGAGGGACTGCGTTTGTCTACCGATCCCGTGATGATAATTGTATCCCATTTGTCTGCAGATGCTATGGAATGATCCTTTGCCTTCATCTGTCGCCCGCCTTGTTACTTGCTGTGATTCCACTTGATCTCTTCTTACATGCCGCACGATGTGGCAGGAAAAATCTGGCTACCATCACCATTCTATCGACGAGCATGATGAACGGTTTCGAATCCGTAATGAGCCTCTCTCTGGCTACATGCATCAGGCCTTGCACTAGCTCCGCTCGGTTCGTCGATTGCAGAGAATAAGCTCAACGTAGCCATCGTAGGTGTAGTGATATAGCTCACGTCGCGTCATGGCACGGAAAGACTGCTCAAAGCAGTCAGAATACGAACACGTTGTCACATAAACCATGAATTCGTATCGCATGTGATCAATTACATTAATTAACACGCGACTCCAGACCAAGGCCGAGCGCGTACTCGCACACTTGCGCTTATTTCTTTGCTATTGTATAAAGCTTGTAACTTTACTGACTAACGCAAAAACTTGATTAGGTGGAAGAAAGAAACGATTCATCGTCGTTGTTTCGCTTCGTCAGGCCACGTGCTACAGGGTGTTGACACCAGTGTCAAAACAATCCACGAGTCAACATTGGCAGGCACTTCCACAGAACATACAGGCGAATGCAAACTTGCTTTGTAAAAACACAACCTTCAAAACTGACCGTCATATATTTCGTCGTCGACTTCTGCAGAATGGCAGAAGGTGAAGGGATGCATTGCTGTCACCTGGATGTGGCGCATCTCAGTCTCCTGGTCTTACGAGATTGAGGTGTCGTAGTCACATGTTAGCACGTAGCGGGTATTGAGAGTACACTTACTTGCAGAGGCGGTATACTGTCTGGTTCGTACTCTTAGGATCAATGGTGAGAGACAAGACTGTCGCCTGCTATAAACGTTGAGTGCTAGTGTGCTATCAATATTGGATCAAGCAAGTCAACAAGACCCATCCTGACAAAAGGGGCTGGATGTGAGGCATCGGCATTTGCGATGAGGCCCGTCACCTTCTATTGTTGTCAATTTATGGTACCATCAGCTCAGTCAATATCCATACACACTATTTCGATCGCAACACAACTGTCCGACTGCCATCTGCAAGGTTCCCGCACGATAGGCTGCCTCCTGAAATGCGTGACAATGTAGATTGTGCCCAATGATCGTGGTCGTTTCGGTACCAACTTGTTGCTGTGATCAGCTAGAGACAGCTAGTAACGAAACGTGCAAAATTAAGCGTGAATGCGAGAATGAGGTCGCTTGGGCACGACTGATTGACATGTAACTGGCTGCTACAGGACCATACCCTTTGCTGGCGTCCCGCTTTTGCGGATCGAAAATGCGCGTGTTGCCTTCGCTCACTTGTTTGCACAACCTGTTGTGCGAAAGGTAGTCAGTCAACTGACTTGGCGCTCTTTTTCTTACGCACAAAAACTCATCCGCTAAATACTTTCTCCGACCACTACAACGTGTTGTTTTTTACTTCATACAGTAGTGTCGCACCAATCCATTGGCCTTCTGCTGTTTAGTCACTTGACACCGGTCAGCGTCAACTGAACCAACGTAAAAGCAAGTTCGTACAATGTACAGCTGTCGAGCAATGTCGCTTCTGATTGGTGATAATTGCGCCTCGATCGATGTCGAGCAAAAAAGCACATAACGTCTTTCCCGCTGGTGCCCATAACGTCTATCCCGCTGGTGCACATATCGTCATAGCAATGTCCGGGTGGGGTACGTACACGACATAAGCGATACATTCGTGCGACTTGCGGGGGTAGATACAAGATTATAACCTTACGCATGTCTGAAATGTCGCCGCCAAGATAATTCACACATGCGTAACGAAGCAAGCCCAGTCTCTTTCTTCCGAATGAAACGCGACTTGTATTAATATGCACGATGCTTGGACTTGCGCTTAGCAACTTCGCGTGCTGTTATCATGTACAACGATGACGGACTTGAACGAAGGGATGTCACCATGCGTGTCCTTCGACGACGCCAGCAGGTTGAGCTGTAGCCAAGTTCGGCCGGCGAACGCAAAGTGGAGACACTGTTTGGCTTCTGTTATGTAACAGTCGACACAGGCAGCATCTGCTTCGGCTGAACTGTGGCAGCACTATGAATCCGCTCGTGTAACGAACAGTGATGGATTGACGACCGAAATCTTTTGCTACAATATGGCAAATTTACAATGTGGCATAGAGCAAACTTGTTGTGGATAGTTTCGACCTTACCAAATAAATCACACTTGCAAAACGTTGACGGACAAAAAAGACCTCACAATCGCTGCGAAGTTGTCATCGTGACGAAACGAACGTAGGCGATGTCTCGTTTGGGTCCCCGACGTGAAGGGCGTCAAGACTTTGTTATCAAGGGGTAACAGAGTTTCGCATTGCATCAGGTTCATAAGGATAAACTTTGTGCTATCTGCAACGATAAACAGTCGTTTATCTACCTACCGTAGGACGAGCCGATGCGTACGCAATAGCTGCTCTTTCTGCCCGTCCGAATGAGGTGTACCTACTACGAGCGGTCACAACAACAACCGATGGCGACGTAATCGACCGCAACTCACCTCGTGAGACTTTGAGTTTTTCTATTGCCACGTCATTCGGACAAAAAGACTGACGTTAACGCCAGCATGAAGGACTGGGACCCTGTGGTTAAAGACAAGGATAGATATGAAAGGTTGGGCTTCAACGTTGAGATACTCGTGCCTACGTGATATGACCTGACTGAATCGATCGGATCGATGCGCCGATAAGTGGCAACAACAACAACAGCAACAACGACTAAGTCGCGGTGTGCTTAGTCATGAAGGTCTAATCTACGATCTGCAAGCCGCGGGTCTCCCGGAATCGATGGAGCGAGACGTTAGACAGCACTCGCTGCATCCATGACTGGCTGTAGAGGGTGTAACGGGGGAGAGGACTACTACCGGACGGATGGCTTTATCGGAGTAATGGTAGAGGAAGCGACGCGTGCTTTTCGTGCTGGAGGCTGATCCGTTATCAGATGCATCTGTGTCGTTATGCATCGAAGACGAGCCCAGGCGTATCGCCATTTGCTCAAAGCGCTGTAGCCTGAGACAAGTGCAGATCGTCCAAGTTCAACATGAGAGTCAAAGCGGATCAGTTACGCTACCTGACGATTGTGCGATGGCTGAGACAAACGCTCCGAACAATCTGCTGCCAAAGTGGTGGTCCGAGTGAGCATTGTCCTTATTGAGATCGAAGTGGCTCCGTACTGGGATCAAAAGTTGTTGACATCGACTATCGCATGCCTTACAAACTTCGCACATGTCTGTACGTAGCCCGTGGACTGGTCTTGCCTTTCCTCACCTAAAGCGCCACACGAGAGCAAGCAAAAGAACGACATGCAACACTTGGGATATTGTGCACAGGCTGCTTATTTGTTCTTGCTTTACGTCTCCTAGCTTGGCAGCACTCTTCCTCTCTTTCAAACATGCAGTAACGGTAGTCCTTCTAGAACTGGTCGCTATGAATGCGATTGCGCTCGACAAACCCCGGCTGACTACTGGGCCCTTCCACACTGCCAGGCGCTTCCTCTGCAGAGTTGCGTGCGGCGCCATCAGGCTCGTCTGCTTGACCCTCATTGTCAGGCGGACGCCCCCCATCGCTACCATCGCCGTCGTCGCTCCCCTCCTCACCCTCTTCGCCCTCCTCGCCGTCCCGATACTTGAGAAGACTTCGTTCCACAAAGGGCGACGTGGTCCGGTACTGATCGGCCACCCAGATCCGCAATGTCTCGAGAAAACGACCGTCGCCTTCACTCACTCCACCATTCACGCTGCGGACCGGTGCCTGATTGTCGTCCTCGAGCTCCCACTCTGTCTTGACCTCAATGTCTTCTCGGTCACTGCATACACGCATCAGCAGAGGCACAAACACCTTGCGAACATCGCGTCGGATACTCGGGATTTCCAGCGCACGCGCCTGCAAGTCTCTTGATGTCTTGCCATTGACGATGTCCGCCAGCCAATTGAGACAAAAGCTGAATTTGCGCAGGTTCGAGCGACAAATCTCAAAGCGCATTAGCTCAAGCAAGTCCACTTCTTCGACCAAGCGAGGGCAGCGTGCGAGCACGAGCTCCTGCACGCGGTAAAATAGCTCGTCCGAGTTCTCCAGGCCGTGGCCGCCGAGCGAGTAGCAGTTCTCGCAGAGATCGAAGCCCACACAGGTGGCACACGAGTAGCGCTCGCCCACAATAGGCGTCATCTTACAGAACTGGCACGACGTGCCTTCGTGTCTGAACTTGGCGTTTTTAAACGTAGCTGCCACGCGCTGCTTGGCCCCAGCGGCCATCGTGTTGATAAACTTGGCAGCGTTGAGCCCACCCCACTTTCGCTTTGTTGCCGCAACCTCAGGCGATTCCGCCGACTCGGAACACGTGTCCATGTCTTCAGTGTGTTCACTGCCTCTCTCGAGAGGCGACGAAGCAGCAACGTTGACGAAGCCATCCAAGTGTTTCGGCTTCGACACATACGTCGCCTTGTTGCTCGTGCCGATCGTCCGCGGCATGTGCGGCACCAGCTTGCTCTCGTCGTCCGCCGACGGGCCCAAGAACATGTGGTCCTTGCCAAAGCGCTTTTCGCCCGGCACAAAGCCGCCCAAGACCGACTCCCGACGACGTTCGATCTGAATGCGCACGTCTGTCACGAGCGTGCGGCGCTCCATCGTCGAGTACGACACGCGCAGCGCCGGGTGCGCTTTCAACAGTGGCAGGAGGAACTCGCGCAGCTCGGCCTGCCGTTCCGCTGACAAGTGCCGCAGCACAATCTGCGACTCGTTGACAATCTCTTCCCTCGCGTCGGGGTCCAGCGCGCCCATGAGCACGCGCGTCGCGCCTTCCTGGTGTTCGTACGGCAGCTTGCGGATGAGCTCTTCCAGTCGGTCCAAGTCGAGCATCTCCTCGAAGCTGCGCGCAGACTGAATCTTGCGGTCTTCCGTCCAGTCCCGAATCGTCTGGTCGGCTGTAGGGTCTTCCGGCGGCAGCAACCCGCCCGACGAGATCGGCGGCGGAGTGCCCGGGGGCGTGTCCGGCTCTTCGTCGTCGTCGCTCTGCTCGCGCCGGCCGTCCGGCTCGCCGCTGCCCTCGTCGCCTTCCGTGATCTGACTGCCCTTGCGGCGGTGCACGGGGCCAAAGCCAATCGTGTCGCGGCCCTGCTCGTCGGCCTGGGCCAGCGCGGCCGTCACGCTCGAGCGGCGCCGCGTCAAGAGCTGCTGCATCTGCTTCTCCAGCACCACGAGCTTGTCCTGCTTGTCCTTGAGCCGCGTCAAGCCCGCGGCCTGCTCATCCTCGAGCGCGCGCTGCAGCCCCTCGATGCGCGCCTTGTGCGCACTCAGCTGCTCGTCGAGGCGCTGCAGCTCGTCGTCTTTGCGGTCCACGTCGCGCAGCAGCAGCGCGTTCTCGGCCTTGAGCGCCGCGATTTCGGCCGCGGCGCGCGCGCGCTCGTCCTCGCGCGCCTGGCGCTCGCTCTGCAGCACTTGGTCGACGTCGCTGCTGCTGCTCTGGCGCTCGGCCGCGCGCGCGGCGACGGCCTCGAGCTCCGAGTCGCGCGCTTTGGCGGCCTCGAGCTGTTTCTTGCGCTGCTTTTTGGTCGCGGCCTCGAGCGCACTCACGAGGCCGCGCAGCGCTGCGCCCTCTTCGTCTTTGAACTTGAGCTCCTGCTGGAGAAAGGCAATTTGCTTGTGCGAGGCGTCGAGTTTGCCCGTCTCGAGCGCCAGCAGTTCGTTCTCGCGGAAGACGTACTCGAACTTTTTCTTCCAGCGCGCGAGGTCCTTCTTGAGCGCGACGTAGTTGCCCTCGTAGAGCTGCAGCTCCTTGATCTTGCTCGCGAGCTCCTCCTGCGTGGCGCGGAGCATGTCGGCGTGCTCGGCGCGCTCGGCGTAGCGCGCCGAGTTGCTGTTGAGGTCCGCTGCCGTAGCGGCGGCGGCGTCGTCGGGGCCGCCCATTGCGCTCGTCGAGCGAGGAGCCACGCGGACGGAAGACGGGCGAGGAAAGTGGCGCTATGAAGTGGGCGAGAGAGGGACCGGGCGGGCAACGTGGCTGAAGTAACGGCGTGGAACACGACCCGGGCGCGCGTGGGAGGGAACAAGGGGGCGGCTGGGCGAATCAGAAAAAAGCACGGCGGATCAGCACTCGGCACTTGTGGTGGTGGGGGTGCAGGCGCAGCGAATCGTCGTGTGGCATCATGTGGAGAGAGGAAAAGGATGTGCACGCAGTGGTGGGCTCGAACGTTACTAGTGACGCGGCCGCTGTTGCTAATCGTGTCGCGATTTGATTCGATTTGATCTCTTTGACGAGCACGATCGATGGCCGACAAAGTCTCTGTGGTGTCAATCGACAACCTCTTTGATCAGTCGCTTGGAAGTGGCGACACACGTTGCGCCTCGCATCCCACATGGATTCAATCGCGTTCACCAACGGTCTGCCCCTGTTGTCACTGCCATGTCATCATGTACCCGTGGAATCGACACGGTGCTACCACCAGTACTCCACTTTCCTAACTTCCAGCTTGAAGCGCTTGCTCGAATACCAACTTGCATGCGCAACCTGTATATGCGTGAAAGACGCACAAACCTGAATGAGTGCGTGCATTGCGTGCGTTGCATGCATTGCGAACCAGCTGAAGCACGGACGATGTCCTTCCAATATGAAAAGCAGGCGGACTTGACGAAAAGCCGCACATATAAGGACATCAGTCTCTTACATTTATGATGCAGTTTTAGGCATACTTGCTCCACAAACTCATTCGCGCCGTGTACGTGGACGTTGTAGTAGCATCGCACTGGTCATTGTCAAGTCGTACGTAGAATGCTCGTCATGCCATCTGCGTGGTATGCTCAGAGACCATTTCTACGCAACGTCATATTATTTAGAAACTGGATTCGCTGATCCGATGGTGCCCAAGATTCTCTTATTTAATCTCACTTCCATTTTTACTAAAAAGATAGAGTTTCCTACCGACAGCTCCGTCCACCCTCTATGTAACGGGACACGCTCTTACCAGACGACCTTGTATTATCAAAACACAAGATTGCGTACTCCCGACGTCACGTACGCATGGCGTGAGGAAGCGCGGGGAAGTAAACAGAACGAGAAAGCTCTGTTATAGGGAAAATAGGAACTGTATATCATAATATAGTTCAGTCTTCCTCATAAACCATCTTTATCTTAATTTGGCTACATTAAACTACATTCTCCTATGTAAGTCACCACCCATTGCGCGTGTCCAGCAGCGGTTGGTGGCTCATTTGGTTGATGTAGCGTCTACATCATCCGATAAGTGGAGCACCCAATAATATTAGCGTCGGGGGTAATATTCCATTTATATTACCTAATCTCGAGTAATGTTGATTTGAATATTATAGTCTAAATAAATAATATTCGAAAATTGATACATTCATATCAATTTTATGTAACGGGCTCACCCCGTTACACTCTATGTACAAGGTACTTTATGCGACTCCCTAGAAGTCGTCAACTCTCTCATTTTTCTACGGCCGGTTCTACTTATGCAATTTGTTTGTTTTCGACTCGAGCATACTGAATGATGAGTAAGCTTATCGTTTTCATTACATTCTATACCTGCAAGATCTGTCCTTAGCTCAATGTCTTATGACACGATCATGGTCTTCACGCTACGAAAGCCAAGCAGACACAAAGTGGCGAATGGTAATTCGACAAAAAATTGTTGTAATGAAATCTTGCTCGACCATCCATAGCAATCAAACATTGTCATCTATATTGAAAGATACAGAACAAGAATATCTTAATGTTGCACCTTCTTCATGGCGATAGAAATACTACTCAATAAAAAATGAACACGTAAAGCTAAAAAAGGAGGTTGTACAACGCGTGTCTGCCGTGCGGCCGTGACAGGATTGCTAATATGCGGTCACAGCGGCTTGCTGAGAACTTTAATCAGCTCGAGCTACTTCGTTGAGACGGGTGTACCGCCTTGTCACAAATTTGAATGCCAGCGCTGATAAGTTTAAAAATATTGCGGTAAAGATTATTGCATGTCATCGATCATCATATTGAATAGGATTTGAGCGATGAATACACAGAGATCAATCCGGTTTCTCCGGGTGCCAAGAATACGTAATCTCTATTTTTTGATCCGACATAGTGAGGCGTGTGTCATTATTAATATCTGTGATGGTCTACGTGCTGCTACATATGTAAATGCTGAGCGTATGATATACACAGCTGGTATATATAGATTTCTTAGCGTGTCGTGCGTTCAATTCATTTTCGTGATTATTTAATAGCATTTTGTATCCCCTTAGAATCTACGGAAGGCATAGCTCAGCCTGATTAGGGAATTGCCGAAGTAGTGTACGCTTGTTCAACTTATAATCTGATGTAATTTACTGAGTTATCGTTAACAATGTATAGTGAAGCCGTTTTGAGTAAATGCCTATTCTTCTCTTATCTCTCCTGTCCACGCAAAAATGAAACGAACTGAAAACCCTCCTACATACCGTCAGAAGTCGAATGCATCTCTTGGACGTTGTTCGACGGGGCAAACCTCACCGAAGTTAATATAACGAGGCAAATTTGTTGGGACTACTTCGTCCGGCTAAGCTAGCCCAAATCATTTCTGCCGTCTTAAACATACAATTATTCGCACATTATATTTTTTACACCACACAACAAGATCAACCAATCGATCTAGCTTTCATCTTTCTAATAAGTGGAAGATATTTCACGGATCCAGTAGGCAATACCAAGTGAGATCGAGCATCTAAGGCGCGGAACAGTCGGCTACTATACAGATGGAGCGATCTCAGATCAAGATCGAGTGTCGATTTTTGTCGAAGGTCAGCTGGTAATTTCAGCTCAGATAGACATAAAATCATGGCCCATCGAAGAATAACCGTGTTGCGATCGACATTTCCTCAATATCTATCCACAATCAGTACCGGCATCTCATGAGCTCGATACGATTTTCTTGGAACAGCCTTACCAGAAAGTACAGAGGTCGAGCTCAACATTTAGAAATGCAAGACGAATGCAGTTCCCTGTCCATGATTTAGCAATCCCTGGTGTATTGGGAAGCAGACGATCTAATGATCAAATTTGATTCGAATCTGTGGTGAAGTCGATCTTACAAAATCGATTGTGTGAGGGTCGATCTTCCACTTGCCCAGACTTACCGACTCACGGAGGGGGTACTCCGATCCGTGACTTGTTGTATAGCCTCGCGCTCACCTTGTGTACCCGTCGGTTGAGCTGGCTTGAGCTCTTCGTAATGACCTTGGAAGATGTCGATCTCGCTTACGGTTTGGGGTTGAGAGTTCGCTTCCGGTGCGAAGATCTTAACACCACGAACAGGGGTTCTGTCATCTTGGTCTTGAGTCACGGCGATTTCTATTTGGAGATGTCGCGATCTTGAACTTGGATCACACCGATCTCGATTTATCTTCGGGGTCGGGGTCTTCGCTGTGCGTGAATCTCCACTCAGCAAAGATAAGTCTTGCCTCGTTCTTGCCTTGGGATCGGTCCGATCTGGTCTTGGGATCAACCGGTATTGCTGGAAGTGCGCAATTGGGGCAGATAGGTTTCTTGTTTCGCCAAAATGAAACGTGCCAATCTGCATGGTAGATCGCTTCGATCTTGCTCGGTCTTGTCTTGAACTTCTTGTCCAGATCTTCTGACCACTTGAGCCGTCTCGCGATCTTGTGTCCAGTCCTTTTCCGTTGTTGCTGCTACCCTATCAGTTGAGTTGAGTGTAAGTACTTGATCTATCCGGACCAGATTGTCCGTGATCGATCTTCTCGATCTTGACCAACAATCCAAGATCGGTGTTCTGTGTTCTTTCAACACGCGTGCCTTACACCGCCGGGGAAGCCAAATCAATCTTGCCCAGAAAAGAGGGGGGTGGACGCGCGTCGTGAGCAGAAAAAGTAGAGTTTAAGTCTGTTTATTTGCCATCCAAATTAATAGACAACATATCCTTACGCCTATTCCAAAGTGTAGGTCACTCTCCAAACCGATACCACCTTTAAGCTTGATCGCCCCCTTGAACACGCGTCGAAATTTCATGACCTGTACTTAAAAGATAGCGCCAATATCCCCGATATCGTACCTAAACACCAGGCGAGGACCAAATCCCAAAAACTGTACCAATTAACATTTTTTGTACCGGAGAGCACTAAATAGTACTCAAATACCAAATGTGTCTAAATCCATTTTGCAACGTCAATTCAACCAACTCCCACTGGATCTTTCGGTCTGAACTTTTGAGACATCACTCATGGACATCATCAAGCATATTCATCATGATCCAATAGCTTCATCAGCGATATATCCATAATCAAAAGGAAACATGACCGATCTGACGCTCAATTCGAGATCGTTGGGGCTCGACACGGTACAATTTAACAGTAGATATCCATCTGTTCATTGTACGTGCTCCAATATCAAACTTCAGGGTTTATCTGGTCCACGAGACTCTCCACATATCTTTGTATAACTTCCTGGGCTCCCGTGAACATTCACACTTCCAGATCGGGCTATAATAAACAAAAACCAGTACTCTCATTGCGGGACCGGCAAAGATTGTCACCGATCTGACGGATGTTACACCTCCGTCACAGAGTCATATCGCACCACCTAGTCCCAGATGTACCTTCGGCAATCATATATATCTGCTACTCGTCTTAGATTGGTCCATTGTAATCATCCATTTCTGCTCCCCGTCCCAAATCATTCCATATCCATCAATCTGGCGATAGTTGGAACGGATCGTTTATCCCCGTTGTAACCATCTTTCATCTCCTATTGGATCGCTAGATCGCTTGGTGCTGTTTCCCGCCAGTATGTGACGTCTTGATTGGGTGGTCACCGATTCACGTCCCAAAATTCGATTGGTGATCTTGCCACATTATTAATTTATAAGCTACTTATCCAAATGTATTGAAGTACGATTTCAACTGTAAGGGTT